CGCTACATTTCGATCCGCGGAAATTTTCATGTATTCTTGTATGTCCTACGATCTTAAGAGGTAACATTAAAATTTATATATGGAGATGTATATGTCTACACGAAGATGATCTCTTTTCACTCGTGCGGTATATCCGTGCTTGAGAAAAATGTCGAGAAAAATATCGCGTGTAAATTGATCTCAAAAAAGCTGGAGGCTTCGAGAAATGTCGATCGTCAGTTGGCCGTAGTTATGCGAGAAAGCTTCAATCCACATGGAGAGTGCGTTTCGAGAGAAAGCGCAGATGAAAATTTGACACGTGATTTAAGAAGTGTAAATAGCACTGAGGTTTTTCATAATTGTTCAAGAAGTTAAGCACGGTCTATCCGTAAAAATGGGCGAAAAAGACGTATTGGTAAAAAAATGGCATAACTAGTACAAAATAAATAGCATAATTACTACAAAACTATTTTCTAACTAACTTTTGGTTTATAGAAAGACTAATAAATTACCCATTGGTAACAAAATCACGAAAATCGTACTTTTGGGTTGGATCCTTCTCGCATTAACCAACTAAAGGCCGACCGATTCAACGGGAGAGAGGGGATTAGCTTCGTGATCGAACGACGGTTTTCCACTCAACTAATATCTATGTCAATTTCTACCAGTTATTCAAATGTCGATTTCAAATTTCCCAAATTTCCGGACGGCGAGTCGCCGAGTTGCTCGCGGGGGAAGCATCGGGACGGCCGTACTCACGAATTCCCGAGAGAGAGGTGGTAAAAACTTACAAAATTAGCTCGATCGAGCTCTCGTCAATCTGATCGATTCTCGATGCGGCGGAGGGGAGGGGGAGCGCGCGGAACCTTTCGTGGAGATATGAGCGACGTGCGCCGGCGGGATCCGACCTCGAGCGACCGCGGGTCGCTGCCAAGTGGTCCAAAATCTTCTAGGGATCGCGCCGGTATCGCGACGATACCGGGCGCATACTAAAATCACGCTGTTATCACGAGCGCAACGGATCTGCTAGCCAGTCCGAGCGATAAGCTCGAAGGTTTGCCCGTCTCACCGCCGGAGAGACGTTAGTCAGTCAGCTCGTTCGAGTACAATTTCGTATCCTCGCTTTTCCTCCTTTCCTGCTCTTCCTCTCGCTTCGTTCTTCTTCCTTCTCTCTCCCTCTTGGTTTCTCTCTTCGCACGCGACCTATGCGCGTCGTCCGAGATGGAAATGATCGCGTGCAGAGTTATCGTCCTGCAATTTCGGTCTTTGATTTTTTTTTTTACAAAATAAACTCAAGCTTACAGGTCGTTTGTTCGAGCAAAATCGCGAAACGGTGAATTGTAAAAGTGCTAATGTACAAATCACTCCGCCAGTAGCGGCGTGTTATTCGCACACATTGTGTTCCCCCTCCTCCGTTCGCGAGAATAAGCTCCCTTTGGTAATATTAAATACCACATTGTGTTACCACGTTGTATGTTTCTAAAGCCTGCTTTACCTCATTTTTTTTCATTAGTTTAAAACAGAGGAAATGCACTCGCACGATAATATCGAAATATTTTATATGACTTATGGTGAACGCGCGGTTAATATATTGAAATAAATGAAATTTATAGAAATTCGTTTCTCGTGAATTCGGCCGGTTTTTGCACATTTTCCATAAACTCAAAATATAATTTCCGTTAATTTTCTCTTTTGAAAGAGATCGCAAGAGATAAACGGCTTAATCTTCGCCACCCACCTGAGGTCTTTTTTGACCCTACGCATCTAAAAATGGCGATATTTTCGCTTTTTATTTCTTTTTGTGGCTTCCAAGTCTTAGAGATGCTCTTTTTATACTTCATACTATTGGCTTTCAGTTTTCAATTTTCACTCTTAAACTACAGGTGCTTTTTATTGTGAAAAATACGAGTCTAGGGTCAATTTTGATCCTAGATGAGTCGTATGCAATAGTTTAATGTTTTGATATAGTTTTACAAGCATCAACCCATCGTTTAGATATAAAATTGTGCATGACGTAAGAGAACTTGCATTTTGTATGTAAAGAACGCACCGTAAGTACGTAACTTGCGTCTCACGTGTCTCAACTTAACATCCGAAGATAATGATTCCCAATAGTTATTTTCATAGCAGCATTTGTACTTTTTGTTACCTTTGACTGAAAAATGTTTATATATTTAAAACTCTTTATACGTCGAAAACTCCTTTCTTCACTATAAAATGCGTTATTTTAAAGCGGGGTCAAAAACGACCCCACCCAGATGAGTTACAGGAAATTCTTATGGCAGGTGAGCGGCGAGGGTTAATGTATCATCCTCCGTTAAAATTCGCGTAACGTGTTTGGCGGACGCTGCTGCAGGTGAGATCTTCGTAGAAAGATCGTCGCGATAACGGGGGAAGAAATAAGAAAGAAAAAGAGACGCAGCGCGTGAAGTGAAAGCAGGAAATCAACCGGTGCGAGCTCACACCGACCATTTCCATTTCTGAGCGTCGCGGACGATCCGGTTCAGTTTCCGCGCTCAATTTCCCCTCGAGAACGCCGTCACGGAGTAAAGTGATTAGCACGTGATAGAATAACGTTCATGCTCGTCGCCGACGACGACGATCGTCGCGCGTCCTCTCGACGGGAGGACCAACCGGTCTCGTCGCGCATCCGGAAGAATAGCTCGATCGGCGATGTTAATCACCGCGCGATCGGAATTAATTAAAATCGACACCACGACGACGACGCGCGATGCACGTTCTCCTTGAAGATTACGCGGATCGCTATGATCTTATGTACAAGATGAAGAGGACGACCGAAAGGGGGAAAGAGACAACAATGCGCATGCGAAGTGAGCGGGTGATAACTCTTGATTAGATATCCGTTTCAATGTTAGTATCGATATTTTCACGGCATCACGACATCCCTAATTTCGACGTTTTCCATTCGTCATTTTCGCAGTTGCGACAACTGCTTTGATTTTCACATCAGACGTAAATTCCGACGTTTGCAATCGCGATTACAAGTTTGCCAAAGTGTCACGCATTTGGTTTGCAGAACATAAAAATATCTTCTCTCTAACCCCTTTCCCTCTTTCGCTTATCTTTATGTGTGTAACAATACGATAAAAAATTACTGGGTAAATTCGACCTTTCTAGTGTGAAAGTCCTTCGAAAGTACTTCTCAACGATAAAAGGACGAGCAACGTCGACGAGACTGATTCGGGACGATCGTCGTCCGGCGCGATTTCCTAGACGGAGAAGCCGTTGTACCATACTCTCTCTCTCTCTCTCTCTCTCTCTCTCTCTCTCTCTCTCTGATCAACTGTCGTAATATTATTTTAAGAAATAGAACAGGGATATATTTTATATCTATAATATGTATATATCTCGGCTATATTAATATATGCCACCGCTCGTAACCATCGAATAACGTGAAACATCATCCCTCGTTATACTCGCGTCGCGCTCGCGCGCTCGGCCGCCTCTCCGTGGCGGAGAGTGTATCACGCCGACTCACCGCGGCGTCTCGTCGCCCGCTATTGCGGGCGGGCTCTCACACGTGATCGGGCCCGACGTACATTGGTCTCGCTGCGCTAATTATACCTACGGTAATTGTGTCATTAGCAATAGTTAATGGCTCAGGCGCCACTGATCGACCGCGGATTACGTAGCAGGACAAAATGCCGACTAACAGGTGGAGATCCGTCGTTGGCGCGTCGCGTGACCTCTCTTCTCTCCCTCCCTCGCGCCTTACCACCGCGTTGCATTACTAATAACAACGTTAACAGAGAGAGAGAGAGCGAGAGAGAGGAGGGGGGCTGACAGAGAGCGTCGAGCAGCGTTGCATCGTGTCGGGTCCTCCGATCGCGCTCGTCGATCGAACGTTGCGTCACAATCATCGTCGTGAAGTCTCCGAATCGGGAAAAAAGGCCGAAGACGCGCGATATCTCGCGATTCGTTTTCGGAAGTCACGTCCTTTTCGAAGTCTCTCTCAAGTGTTCGAACGCGAATTACACGCTCGTCGAATTCTCTTTCCCTCTTCCATCGGAGTAAAATAAAAAAAAAACCCGATGATATTCGCGTGCGATGCGACGGCGACAAGACGGTGCGGGTTCGCGCGACGCGTCAACCGACCGCGTCTCTCCACCTTGACACGCGCTCCTACGCATTCTCGCTCGCATACACACTCACTCAATGCAATTACGCTAGGCAGACAGCACGCTCTCGCATACACACACACACGCTCACTAGCACGCACGCACGCACCGCTTAAAAGTGTATATTTCCTAAAGTCACGTTGCAACAGTGCAGCAGCTCGTAAAACAGCATCCTTGTGCCACACCCACAGCCTCAGAAGTTTACATAATACAGTCATATACGCTAAGATCTACGCCGTCGCTGTATGTGTGTGTGTGTATAATATATATATATATATATATATATATNTTATAATGAGCGCGACGAGGTGGGTATCCAAGTATTACAAAGAAGCAAGTGCAAACGCAACCTCCTTAAATGGTAACGGGATTAATTATATGGCGGCTGTCGCGCCGCCGTCGGGCCGTGATATCTCGCCGTAATTAATATTATTACGCCACCGCAACAGAGAGGTATTGTATATGTACATGTGCATCTTCTCGCCCGGGTCTCGTCAGGAACGCGCGCGCAGCTGCTCCGTCAGAATCTACGGTCGCGGGAGCAGCCGGCCGCCTTCTCCCTCCCTCTCCCCCTTCCCTCCATTACGTCGTTTGTCGGGCGAGCTCAAAACGCATTATCGAATAATCCGTCACCCGCGAACGTAACAGTTATCGAATGCGATTCGTCGGCTGACGTGATATCGTCGAGATGGAAATTCGTCGCCGCACATACTCCCTCTCTTTCTTCCTTTCTTTCTCTATCTCTCTCGTGGGATTTTCTCTCTTGTTCTTCCTCCTCCTCGTCACAGGATGTTACGGAGGATTTTATTTTAACTCCCGAGTCCTTCGCGTCTTCTCCACGATCGAGAAGGTACGTCATTTCTCTCTCTCTCTCTCTCTCTCTCTCTCTCTCTCTCTCTCTCTCTCTCTCTCTCTCTCTCTTCCTCCCCGAGCGCGAGATAAAAGCTACACGACCGACGTCGTTGGAGCTGCGTAAAAAATCACGGGCGATCCTTTGTTCAATCGCCTAAGTGGCGCTTCTCTCCCTCTCTCTCTCTCTCTCTCACTTTGCACCCCTTTACTTATTTATAATACTTACATAGACACGCCCACTTATACTCTTAACGGTACTTCACGATGATCGGTATATACTCTCTCTGTCTCTCTCTCTCTCTCTCTCTCTCGTCGCTGCTAATACCATTTTAAAATATACACTTACGCTTTCGCGTGTTTGTATATGTGTGTGTTGTGTAGTACTTACGTATTTAGGTACTTATTACCGTACGTACGTGTGTATGTGTGTGTGTGTACATGTTGTTCCATGACGGAGCGTAATATAATTAGACGGAGTATATATTAATTTAGAATTGTGCAATGAAGGTTTTTAGAGCCATTTAGTGCGACTACTGCTGCGGATGTGGTTGTTGGACGAGTCGCTCTCTCTCTCTCTCTCTCTCTCTCTTCTCGCCGAACACGATCATCGTGGTGTCGTAGTACATCGAAATTATGGGATGAAGGGGGTGGGTGGGTGATGATAACAGTGGTGGCGATGGTTGTAGGTGATAATGATGGTGCATCGTCGTTACGCACCCCGAGGTGCAGGCTGTGTCGCGTTTCTGCGGGATCTCAGCTCTCCTCCCTCTTCCGTTCTCGCTTCTTTAATCCTGGCGCAGGAAGCTCTCTCGATGAACTCGGCTGAGCGCGTCTCGCTGCGCGGCTCTCAAGGTCAACGTGCACGGAGAGAGGCTCTCCCCGCGGCTCGAGTGTTGCGCTTCATCCGAGAGTGCGCGCTCAAGAGAGAGACGACGTTTTCGATCTACCTATCTCGCTGCGCGCGCGCGAGCCTTTGATCTCGACCCCTTTCTCCTTCCCGGGCTATTTCCAGCCCGTCCCGTTATACTCCGCCACCTCCTGGAGACGACGCGGGGCGATGAAGCTTCGCGTTGTCCTTGAGACCGAGACAGGATCTCGGACGCGATCTCGCCCGTGTCTCGTTCGCCTCCGAAGCAGCGCGATCCGAACGGAGGGAGTCACCGGGTCATCGAGTTCTCTCGCGTGGCCTTCGCGTCTCTTCCGGTGGACGATCCGAAACCGATCGTCGCCTCCGCTCCGTCGCTCCAAGGATCCTCGCCAGGCGCGACTTGGCACGCGTACTGCATCCTCTCGTTCGTAGCTCAACCCTCGGAATCGCTCCTCGTCTCCGGTCCGTTACTCCCAGAAGCCGGCACTTCGTCTCGGCTGCTAGAAACTTGACCTCGATATCCCTTCTCTCTCATTTCCTAATCTTAACGTGGACGTCTGTTTCTTTACGCGTCGCCTTCCTCTTCCCCGCAGAAGCCTCCGTCGCGCCGTAAAATCCGCTAACTTAACGTTACTTTCGCTCGCACTCGCTCGCTTGCTCGACGACGCTCCGAGAGCGAGAATGCACTCGCAAACGGGGGACTACTTTCATTCTGTTCGGAACACGATCAGCGTGTGTGTGAGCACCTTCTGCTCGACCGAGGATCGTCGCTCTCCTCGTGTGTGTGTGTGTGTGTGTCTGTTAATACTATGTAACTCAGTCTGCCCTTGCTTCAACAGCCTGCAGCGAAAACGTATCTCGCCTACGCTACGACACCGTCGCGGTCTCCTCCCCGCAGATCCCTCTAGATCGACCTGTAACTCCTCCACGACCTCCCCCCGACAACGGTCTGACGACCTCACGATCCTTACGGAAACGTCGATGCGACGAGCATCAACGACGCAGTCGCTCCGCGATCCCCAGCAGGGAGAGGCCTCGGACGTGACCTCGTACGACCTTACGCAGCCCGTTAGCTCTCGTCGACTCGCACACTCCCCTAGTCGTCGTAGCCGTCGTCGTCATCGGCGGTCGTTGTGCTCGACGGAAACGGTCGCCGTGCGCGAGTCCTCCTTCCCTCCCTTTACATGGACAGGCTCGGCGGGGGCTCGCTTGCGTAGGACGCGACGAGCCCGAAGTTCCCAGCGGTCCTGCGGACCTGCTCGAGGGCGTGTTATACCCAGGAGTCGCCGGCGGCGGCGGCGGCGGTCGAGTTGGGCGGCACGTTCGTCACCGTGGCGGCGGCGGACGCGTTGCCGTCCGGCACCCCGACGCCGTCCGACATCCACTGGCCCACCGTGGGTCCGCCGCCGCCGCCCGGTCCGGTCACGCCGCCGCCGCCGGGTATCGCGCCGCCACCGGCTTGACCCTGGCCCACCCCCAGCTCGTACTGCCGCTTCTTTTTCTTCTCCAAGTTAACTTGCGCGTAGAGCGGCTCACCGGGTTTCGGCTGCTGCAACACACACACAAGCCAACGGTTAGCACAAGCCCCTGGGCAAGAAGCGTCGTCGGCGGCCGGCTACATCGCGGCTGCGGGCGCTCGGGGGGTGGGCGAGGGGGGAAGTAGCGCGCGGAGTGAGCGAAGCGTTTACCGGAACCGCCGATCCACCGGCCGCTGAAAGAACTCTCTCTCTCTCTCTCTCTCTCTCTCCGGTCAGCTTCGGGGGGTGTTGTCAGCGTGCAGGTGTACTCTCGATTAGGACAGGTGCGCTGGTGACCGAGGTGACGTGTAGGTGACACCGGGGTGGCCAAGATGAGGAGGTGATCCTTGATGCGATAGCCATGTGCGAGGGTGGCTGCACGTCGGGGGAAAGGAAGCGATGTCCGTTTCTTTGATTTTTCTCGAGGGAGTCTCCTCGAATTTGTGAACAGTCCCTCTTTTTTAGAAATGTTTTCTACATTTGCAAATGTGTTTCTTGAATTTAGAAATAATTTCTGAATTTATAAATATAATTACTTGAATTCACAAGTAATTTTTGAACATACAAATGTTTCTCGAATTTGCGAACGTGCGGAATTTGAAAATTCTCAGTCGTACGTTTCGCCTTTTAATCGCCATTACTGATAAGCCAACGTAATCAACATAACGCCGCTCCGAAATGCCTGAAGAAACGAACATTGGTCCCCCCCCTTTTCCCCCAAGGCGCAGACACGAGGATACAGACATATCTGATGAAGATATACGCGCGTATTACGCAACGAACAGACGCTATATCGTGAATTTATAAATCACGGTGATCGTCGTTCGAGCGAAGACAGCGTGCGGATTGACGCGTGAATTGATTCTCGATTATCCACGCGTCTCCTTCCACCGACGGATAATAATAGTCCTCCGGATAATCGAGAGTACACCGCCGACGTCCAGAGGCAAGACCACGTTGGAGGTGTGATATGTTTGGCCTTTATTTGTTTAGTTCAGGTATGTGGCTAGCTAATATACATATCTCAAATAATCCTTCGTTTGTTACACAAACTGCGCTCTTTAGAGTCGGCTAAATACAGAATATAAATACTTCGACGTGAGGTGAATAATTGCATACTCGAAATTACACGTGATACAAGGACGCACGTGAGAGAGATCGTGTGCCTGTGTATATGTGTGTATGTGTGTGTGTGAACGCTATAAAATATATATATATGTATATATATAGTATATAGTATATAAATCCGTGTGGCTTGTTGTTGTTGTGACGTGGTGGTGTAGTAGGATATAAATAAAAAAAGATTCCGCGTTAATAAACGCATAATAATAATTTTTTATAATGGTCTATGGTTACAATGGAATTTTTTATTGTTAATATCCAATTTATGTCAGCCGACAATAGTCGCACGAATAGTGATCGACGAACTAAGAAGAAAAGACAAAACTTGACTTCTACGTTATTCTACGCTCGTAATACGAATTTCCATAGGACGTTTCTCGTTAAATAATTAGGCTGTGGTGTATATGTGTTTGTGTATAAGAGTGTAATAATAATGTAATACTAATAATTTCCAGAGGATCACTCATGTTTCTATCCTTCCTTCCTTCTGACCGGCCTGACGTAGCGCGTGAACAATCGTACTCGTGTTCATTGCACCGTGTACCTCGACTTACGTATAAGGTTTCGACCATTCGTTCTCTCTCGGGGTCTAGGCTTATATACAAAATCGGGCGTGTACAATAAGGACTACGTAATAATTTATGTAGAAAACGCGTTATATATTCCGCTGTCGCACAATAGAACAGTGAAGTATATAAACTCAACGTCGGGTCGCTGAAAAAGAAATCTCATTACGGGGAAACGGAACTCGCTTCGCTCCTCTTGTCGTGAAACTCGATACAAAAAACGCCTCGTCAATTCGTGATGATGATGACGATGATCATCCACATCGATGGACGATGAATCATCCTCCCTCGAATGGGAAGCTAAGAAAGTAACTAATACGCCATCGTTAGAGAGCACTATGAAAGGAGTGTTCGTTAGGCAGTGATTCCGTCAGCTAGAGCTTCTTATCGCAGTATATTGTGCGTTCTCTCGGACAAAAATGTGAGTGTGTACGTGTGTGAATGAGTGAGTGAGTGAGTGAGTGAGTGTGTACAAAACGGTGCGGGGTACACCTCGAGCACCTTCGCTAGAGTATCTAGGTAGTCTTCGATATAACGGTTGCGGTGCATTCCTACGATCTCTTCTACGATTTCATCTACAAAATGTGTGCGCGAGACGTCTCTTCCTTGCCTGCTTCGCGATACTGACTCGATCGGCTTTGGAAAAGTGTTATGAAAACCGTGCAAAAGATACTCGGGATAATTAGTTTCGACAATTAGTGGCTACGCGGTGTATTAGTGGTGTGCGTGTGCGTTCGTTAAAAAGATCGATTGGTCCAGTCTCGTGCAACAATCTCGTTCTTCGTGAATTCTACGTGTCGTCTCTACGTGTGTGTGTGTGTGTGTGTGTGTGTTACGTGTGAATTCTCGCACAATCAATCGGGACGATCCCACTAAAAATGCATCGGACGCATCGCGTTTACATTAATACGTTGGCTATAATCACCTTCGCTCTTTTTCTACCTATCTCTCTTTATCTCTCTTTCTCTCTAATCGTAAATTCGACCTTATGCTCGTCGGCATGTCTAATCATAATAATAATACTCGCTACGTTAGGAAAAAACGCGCCCTACCGTGCACGCGACTGATCCTCCGCCTTTTTGGAAAAATTAGAGAAAGTCTCGTCCTTTCGTCTCTCCCGTCGTCGTTCCGAAGACGAAGGAAAGTCTCGTTCCTTCGTTTCGGACGAGAGAAGGTCGCGATGATAAAAATCAAGAACCCGACGCGTTCACAAGCGTACAGGCAATGAAGGATACCAACTAAAACGGGAAGACACAGTAGTCGTCAGCAGTCTAGATCGCACTCGGTCGAATTGTACGCGGATTTAACGTGTCTGTGCGACGCAAATTACGCAATAGCTACCGAGTGCTCCTGGCTCCGGAGGAGTCGCGGAGAGTGACGCATTTTCGTTCGTCATTTTTGGCACAGTCGATCGCGCGCCAAATGGTGTTCCTTTTTTTCGTTTTTCTTTTTTTTTTTTACTTTTTTTACGTTCTAGGTGACTACTTCTTCGCGACGATCGCACCTCGCGAGTTCTACGCAAAAATTCGAAGACGAGATACAAACGTTGCGTGATCGGTGTGTGCTCGGGAGAGTCTATTTATAAAGTCGACTTCCGAGATCCTACGTGCTGTAACGGCGCGAATATGACGGATTCCGCGCCGCCACGGATCTATGATGGCAACGATCGAGATAGACGAAATTATTAGACGGAACTCCGCCGGTCTTAAGGAGAGGCTCTCTCCTCTCAAATGCGACAACGCGCTCGGAAATGTTTAAAATTCAAATCTTTAGTCTCGAAGTTTTAACAAATGTCACGCACGGACCTGATATATGCGTGATTAGAAGTCGGATTTTTTCTCAAATCGAATTCTTAATTTTATCGCTACCTCCGCCGTTATCCGCAAGATGTCTCATCTTTTTGTTGATTTCCGTTGATTTTTTGGCGAATCCTTCCCTTAAGACCGACGATTCGAGTATTCGAGACGATTGCATCGTGTGAGGTGCACGTGCGTGTTTATTTCCACCTAAGCTATCCGACGTGCGGCTTACTGTTCTCGACGTTCTCCTCTAAGGTCTACGCGCTGTGTATGTGTGTGAGAGATGCTGTTAGTTGTTGTTACTTACTGATTGATATATAGTAGGTCGACCGACATTATTCGAGTTCATGTTCGCTCGCTGAATCGTTCGATCCTCGTATCTCGTGCTGCCCTGGCTCGCCATCGGTCGATTGAGGGTGCTGCAATCATAGCTGAAATTCAACGTAGAATCGAGTGGCCCGTTCGAGAGAGCGCCGCGAGGACTCCGCATGAATATCGGGAAATTAATCTCGCACGATAACGAACGCAACGAACGAAAGATAAGCGGAGTCCTAGAAATTAAACGAGACGAACAAAAACATCATAAATCCAAGTGAACCCAAACTTTCTTTTAGACAAAAAGGAAAAAAAACAAAGCAGACATGGGAGCGGTTTAACTGTCGAAAATAGTGAGGAAAGTGAGTTTCATTCTTGGAAAAATAAGAATTAGTGAGTCAGTTTTGAAAAAGTGAGTAAAAAGCGAGTGTTTTCCCAAAAATTTGCGCGTTAAAAATTAAATCTGTATCCATTATTCTTTCTATTCCAATAAGAGATTAAAAGCATTGATTTTATAATGATGGCTAATAAAGAGCAGAATTTGAATTTTGAGGAATAAAATAAATAATATATACAATCTAAAATTTAATTTAAAAACCCAGTCGTAGTTACATATTTTGATATAATAAAACTCTTCACAAGAAACAGAAATTAAATTCTTTATGTTTTCTCAAACACGTTTCTTGGATTTGTTTATTAACAACTCGTTTTGGCTTGGTAGACAAACAAGAATTATGGATGGATAAATGTGGATAAACTACGTAATTTGAAGGAAACACAAGTACGCTCATGCTAGTCACTGTCTGTTTTTCTGACAAGCCCGATAAAAACTGCTTGAAAATAAAATCACAATTCTTCATTTTATGAACATTGCGTCGTCGGAGTTATTGTTACGTTCTATTTTCTTTAAATCTTTTGTTTTATCTTTAAAGAAGCACGTTATTGGACATGATTTCTTGTGATCAAGTTTTTTTTCAAGGGTTCGAGCGAGTAAGAAAAAAGAAAGAAAAGTGAGCTTTTCTCTTAAAAGTGGCAAAAAGTAAGGTGTTTCTAAATAAGTGAAGAAAAGTGAGAAAAGTAAGTCCTCCCATGCCTGATAAAGTTACCGGCGCGATAAGAACGTTATAATACTTCCTTAACTGATTTACACACGGCGACACATTCGAGACACGCTGTTAACTTTAGACCTGAAATGAACCGCGACTATTAGACCCTGATTAAAGTTCGCTCTCGGAGAAAACAAAATCTCGGATTAATAGAAAATGAGATTTGACGACTCAATTCTCGCACGATCGATCGAGATGACCCCATCAAAAATGCATCGGATACGTAGTTTATACGCTATATGGAAAAAATGTATTATCAATTCAAGAAACCCATATTCTCATACATAAGCAAGAAATATCCAACTTTACATAGAGATAAAACTTGCTTACATATGAAGAAATTCTACATAGTTCGATTAAAAATATATTCTTCTTATTCGGGAATAATTCTCACGAATTAAAAAGAAAAAGATATTGGATAGAAAGAACTAGGAATTGTTCAGTCTGAAAATATCGCTCTTTTTATCCAAATGTTTTTCTCCTAATTCATACAAATTACTCTTGTATAACAAGAATATGATATTCACTTGTTTGCATGTCTAATAATACTCGCTGCGTTAGAGAAAAATGTGCATTATTGCGCGATTTGTTATCTGCCTCTTGGAAAAATGAGAGAAAATGTTATTCTTCTTCCGGACGAAAGGAAAAGTCTTGTTCCTTCGTCTGGTGATGAACGAAGGGAAATCTAGTTCCTTCGTTCGGAGCTAGACGAGAGGAGGTCCCTGGTGCAATGATAAAAGCAGAGATCTTCTGTCGTTCACGAAGTTACAGACACTGAAATACACCAACTGGACTAATATCCAATTGTGTAATCGTCTCAATTATTTCGCGAAACGTCCGTTCAGTTTTGCATACAAAATCTCGTCTCGAGACGATTACGATCCGCGGGAAATGTACGACATGCGTGCCGCCGTATGTAAATCCGACTTACTGCTCCATTTGCGGAACGACGTTTACCTGTTAGCGTTGTTGGGTGAATTAGGCCCTGAATTCCTGGCGGCGACGGTTTTCGTGACGAAGTCCTGTTCCTTCCAGCCGTGCTTCTTGTAAACGTCTCTCAGTTCTTGATGCTGCCACATGGTGAACAGCACTTGTCCTAAAAATACGCGTTCGAGAGAGGGGTGAGACGCGGCCGGAGATTGACGCGTAATGAAATATATAATATGAAAGTGATTAACGAGACTCGGTCGTCCACCGTGGCTAAAACGTAGACTTCGAAGTGAGGTAATGAATTTTTCCGGCCGGAGAACAAATAGCGTGCGCAAACGTAATACTTCAATTGCAACATATATATTATGCAGAGAGCTAATGTATCATGGCGATAATAGTTGCCAGTTAATCAATATCTATATTAATATTTGTTAATACAGTTTCTCTATTAATTTATATTCGTAACAATAATAACGAAAATAGAAATATGATGTAATCTGCTAAATCGACAAATCGACTGATCGCGGTCTAAATCCGGCATTACCTGCAAATTTAAGAACACGCGGCGTGTATTTCTGGCGTTGCCTGGTGATGTTCATTAATCTGTCGACACCGCCGGCATCGAGCAACGACCGCGAGAACTCGGCGTTCTTCTTGATGACCTCATTCAGAGTCGCGAGCACCGCCGCGATCGTGTCGTCGCTCGTGCCCTGATCGTGCTGATTATTTCCAGACGGCAGCTTCTGGATGAGATCCCTCATCGCGTATTTCCCTATTAGCTCCTTGTTGCGCTGGTCTATCGCCAAGTTCCTCAGTGCCGTCGCGACCGCGCAGACCACTCGGTCCACCTGCTCGCAAAAAGCGTTCACGTGAGGTGAATCTTAAATTATACGCTCTTTACGTTTCAGTAAACCGGACGTAACGGGATTGGAACTGTCTATTTTCAGCAAAATGTTATATATACGCGAAATGCACAAAAATGTGAAATATATGACTGAATATCGGTGATTTTCTTATATCTGTGCGAGAACATGTATTATGATTTTCTTATATTAAATTTGCGGTATTTCCGCAGAGGGAAAGAAGAGGGAAATAAAATATCGTGCGTATCATTAAATAGAATCGTATTTATCATTAAATTATCATGTTCAATGATATATAGGGTGTCTGACGCAAGCTATTCCATTCGTTATATACTTCTAGTTTAGGTGAATGTGAACAAAAAAATTCTTCACCATTTTGCAAACAGCCATGCAAAATTTTGTATTAATAATTACATCGTCCGACAAAATTTGACCTTTTTCTCAATACTAGTGTTAATAGTCATTTCCAATATATTTTTGCCTGTTGAAGTACGCGAGTATGTTACCTAAAACTGGCTTTCACGTCACAATTTTGAGAAAAATGGCATCGAAGTGCAGCAAAAACGACGATTTTTAAGGGTTTTGAGAATTTTCATAATGTAGCACCGGCAGCAAACTCTTTTTTTCAAATTTCGTTAATATCACGCGAAAGTATCAAATTTTAGTTTTAGAAATGCACTTTGTCTCGTTTCGGTATGATTTTTTATTTTTTAAGATATAGGAATTTGAAAATGGTTCTTTTTCCTGGTAATTGATAGAAAAGGCGTTTCATTCCATCTTAATATTGTATTATGTGAAAAATAAGTACTTTTGTATATTTACATAATAGAATCGGATAATTCGCATCGGATACTAAATCAAAAAGCAACATAAAATTGACAAAAAATACAAATATATGAAGGCTATAATCTTAAAAGTCTTTTAAAGACAATCTTCTTAGGTAGAGAACTTTCTGACCTGAACTACAAATATATGATAAACGGAACGTACTTGCATTAGATATTTTGTATATGATATCCAATATACGTATGATAATGTTAATTTCATAATATACATGATAATGAAAATATGGAGAGGAATAAAATTAATTTAAATATTACTTCTCGTGGATTTAAACAACCTCGGTAATAATTTTAAATCAAACTTATCGGGTTTTGCGGGAGAATCCGACACGTCATTGTATCTTTCCTCATTTGCGAAGCTAGAAACACACGGTAAAGTGCGTTTTTTTTTACCTCCATCCTCAAGAGCTCCACTAATATCGGGAGACCCTTCTCCTTGCGAACGGCCGCGCGAATTTCGATGCTCGGCTGCCAGTAGCAGGCAGCGAGGTTCTGCAGCGCCCCGGCCGCGGCCTCGAGCGTTTCCGGATTCGAGCAGGTTTGCAGGAGACTTAGGTATGACTGTACCACTTCCGGTTGCCAAAGCAATTCCATTCCCCTGACTGGCTCGGTACGCGGACTCGTCGTACGTGACGTGGTCGTTTCCTTCTGGACCGGTTGACCGTCCTTCTTTTTCTTACTGCCGCCGAAACAGCCCAGATTCTCGCCTAGAGCAGAACAACGGCGGATCCGTATTAGCGAGATTAAAGGAGCTCGCATCGACAAGCAACGAAAAGTCTCGTGTCGGTAAAATCACGAAGCTGCGAGTCGGATGTTAATTTTGAGTCGTGTTGTCAATTTCGATTTTAAAGTAGTTGGCCCGTAGAGTGCCGGATTTTGAGTGGCGATATATTAAGGAACTCCTATATAAGTTTATTATTTACCGTAAAAGAAACATTTTCCTATAACTTTATTTACTATAATTATCTGAGTAATAAATGTTGATTTTGAGCGAAATTAAAACAAACATACACACAATATCACAATATTAACACGGAGATATTAGACATTTTTTATTTTTCATTTTTACTTTTCATCTAAAGCATCTAATGCTTTATTTATATGTCAATGAGTTAGTATAGAACTGTATACATAATAGAAAGTGTTATATAAGTATTTAAATATGTAAATATCGTAGTATTTAAATATGTAAGTATCGTATTACTATAAATTGTAAATTTCCTACGGCTATATTTTCAAAACAAAATATTAATTTAACAATTCTGAAATTTATGTAAAATGTTTCCGTATTGATTCTTAATGTCGCAGTAGTTTTTTATTAAATTCCTAAATATGAATTAAGGAGAAGTTAACAAGAAATTAATATAAGTTAAAAATAGGACATAAAAAGATATACATTAACCTCGAGGAATACGTGCAAGAAGTGTCAACTGAATATCTCAGCTTCCGATTGGTCAATCGTTTTCTAATTTTAAAGATGCGTAGATGATATTTCCATCAATATGCAGCTAAAACTTAAAAGGATTTCTAAGAAAATAATTTAACGGGCCAACTACTTTAATTTCAGAGAGAGAAAGAGAAAGAATTAGTCAAAGAGAGAAAGAAAGAGAAAGAAAGAGAAAGAGAGAGAGCTGGACTTACATGTTAATCATCGAACCGCGCTTGTTTCGCGATACTTGCACTACGATACGTTGCAGCAACATTATGTATTTTATTTTAAGTTCTCGATCTCTCATATATCTAATACTGAATTTAATTTTAAGTCTTTTCATATGCGATTAATTTTATTTTATCTTCATCATCATCATTATTATTATAGAGAGCCAATATCAAATAATATACCGATCGATACGCCGTGAAAAAGTCTCGAGAGATCGTGTGCTTATATATCTATAAGGCGCCCATTATATCTCTATAAACTTCTATCTAGCTAAACCCGCTAAATCAAATCAGCTATATATATATATATATTGATCTACGCAACGAACGAAACTGTGAGAGAACGAAACTATAAACTATATATCTGCTATACTTTGCGACAAGCTCGTTTTGTGTTTTCAATTCAATTTGAGATCGATCGTTGGCTAATTCTCTGCATCGGACTTCAGCGCAAAATAGAAACAGTGTATGCAGAAGTATATCGATCGTTGCTCGAAAAAAGGAATACAGCGATTACGCAACTTTGAACGAATGAGAGAAACGAATACGATAACGGGAAGACGTATTAAAACTCATAAAAAAAAAAAAAGAGATATAACAATACTGGTCAACTGTCGTAAGATTCGGTATAAAAAGCGAGGCATGCAGCAGTATATAAATAGCCATATATATATATATATATACATGTACATATCGTCGGACGGAAACTAATTTATCAATGGAATTGCAAGAGGGTCTTACCTTGACATAAACTGTATGCTAAAAAGATTGAGAAACACAGTTTAATTCATGCTGAACTGGGATTCCTAAAAAATCGGTATAATTGAATGAGAAACTCAAATCCGAGAACGAAAGCCAAGGGTCTCTTTTCTCGATTCGGGAGATTCGTGTCTAACTATTACACGACCAAACAAAAAAGAGGAATCTAAGAAAAACATAGACAAGAGAGAGAGAGAGAGAGAGAGAGAGAGAGAGAGAGAAACATGAGATATTACAGGGTATTGTCATCTATGTACATTTCTGGACACACTGTACGTATCTATTCGCATGAGAGGCGGCAAGAAGTGCAACTTAATCGCCGAGAAACTAGATACGATGTATGATAAGAAAATGATGGAGAACAAAAAAATCTCCGTTCGGTCTACATGTAAAATCGTCTAAAGCCTACTCTCTCGATCGTGTTGCGCTGTCGCCACTTTTCTAAGCGGGTTATGTCCTACGGTTTCCGGTTTGCGATACAAATCTCGCTCTGCCTCACTCCGGCGAACCAGTCCGGAAGTTTCGATCGAATTTAATACGGCTACATAGAGAACTAACTACCTATAACTACGCCAACTACGCCGTAATAAAATATCAACCAGTGCGTGTCTGTGAAACTTGAACGGCAGAATTAACCGTAATTAATATCCAAATCAATATCAAGTATTTACGACGATATTATCGCGGACGTGAACAGGAATATAAATCAAAACAAGATTTATACATACATTGGTGGTTGTAAAGTATCGCCTAACGCAAACTTTTTATTAAATCTCGTGTTAATGAGAATGCAACAGTTCAAGTAACGGTTACGACATACTGAAGCAGCGATGTAGGAGAAAATTAAATTTGCAAAGCTCAATTTACTGCAAATTATTACTGCAAATATACTTGAAAATGTGAAAATCTATTTTTGAGGATATACTTGAAGAAGAGTATAAACAAAAAGAATTTAGACAACTAATAGCGAAACATTAATGTATATATTGTATTCAAAATTAAATGAGATTTACATTAATATTTAATGATTTGACTCCTTTGACTTTAATAAGGGGCCCGAGATCTCCCCGGCGTACTGTTAATCAGGTTTCGAATAATATCATGACTAATGTATAGTGCCATACACAAATAATTACTTTTTTCATCTACTTCAACACTTCGTAACCGTTACTTTAATTATTGAATCTATAACGTGAGATTTAGCAAATAATTTGCACTTTGCAGTGGACGTACAATATTTGAGAGAACACCAGCGTATATATATACATATTTTTTTATGGATAATTACATATATTTTATATGTGTATATATATTTTTTATGGAGAATGGTAAATTTCCTATATTTTCAAAACAAAATATCGATTCAATAATTCTGAAATCTATATAATGTCTCTACATTGGTTCTTAATATATCACAGTAATTTTTCATTAAATCCCGAAATGTGGTTTCGAAGAAATTAAAAAGAAAGCCCAAAATAGAACATTAACCTCAAGGAATACGTACAAAAAGTGTCATCTGAATACCTCAGTTTCCGAATGATTAATCGTTTTCTAAACGACGCGTGAAGATAGTATTTCCGTCAATATGCAGCTGAAGTTTAAAAGGATTCTCAAGAAAAGGATTTGATGTGCAATAATCTCTCGGTATCTTCCGGTCAGAAAGACTTGGAGAACGCCCTAGTGTGGAAAATCAAACGGGCTTTTCGGACGGCGAAATTCGACCGAGCGGAACAATCGGCCGAATATATCGCGAACGGATCGCGCATTTAACGGTCATGTATGTACATTGTAATTTCACACAATAGCTGGAAAAGTGCCTGCAGCGGGGCAGCTGCGTGTAGTGTATTCCCTGTGATCTAATTTCATGGTCGGTTTAAGGGTGAATCATTTACCCTCCTCATTTGCCCCTCCCAATCTTCGTGCGCGCACACACGCGAACCGAGCGCATTTACATGCACACCGGGTAGGGAGGGAGATCCGCGCGCATATTGCGAGGGAAACATATTCGTCCCGAAAGCAACGCTCGAGATATTCCCCTCCTCCCCTTTTTCTTTCCCACCGCGATTTATTTTTCATCGTTTTAAGGTGCGTTGCGGCGCGGCACAACTCACGGCCGGCCGTGTGAACGCCACACGCGGCATGCGTACGCTTGTTTTTCCCAACGTGAAGAATTCAGCGCGACTGCGACCCACTAACTCGCCCCTCTCGTTTCCCTCGGCGTAATTAGTTTATCATCTTTGTTTAACCTCATTAATCTTATATTCATAGTTTTTAATCTCATTGACGGGGCCGGAGGGACGCTCGCGCTCTCCCGTCCCCCCCGAGATTCGCGGCGGAATTCAAAAATTCTCTCACACATGTGCTACTTTTAAGAATCTATTTTACTTGTATATCTATACATCTTTTATACGCTTTAATAAATTACTTGTGTCCGGGTGTATGCGGGCCGTGCAAAGATAAAATCAGGAAGAGGGTGAAGACCGAAATAAAACGCGAGGAAATAGTTGACATTAAAAAAAAATGTAAAATCCGAGTAAGTTTAAACGCATCTCTCGATTGGATCCGACGGAGATAGAGAGAATCAGGTTGGATCCAAAATACAACACAATCAGCAAGGAGCGATGATGGATATCGGCTGACGTAATTTCTCTTCCTGCAGGTCTCAGGTGAAATGTTCAAAATGAAAATTAAAATAGATTCGCGGAAAATTCAATTAGAGTCGCACATCCCGATCTCTCTCCTCTCCAGATCCCAAAAAAAGAGCGGTCGAACTCGGTCGCACTGAATCCTCCACACACACACACACACACATACACACGCGCGTGCGCGCATCTAAAACTTGGCAAAGTACGCCACTAAATCCCTCTCTCGTCCCGCCTCACCTTTCGCGGGTGCTGCGACCCTGTTCTGCACCGTGGACTGGATAGGATGTTTGTCGTAGTTCGGGTCCTCCACTTCTTGGCAACGGTAGCTCAGATTCCTTAGGATGCACACGCAGTTCTCGACGATCTTGTTGCCGATGTTCGACTTCTCGATCGCCGAGCGCACCACGTAGAGCAGCGCGTCGACCAGGCCGTCGCACTCGCGCAGGTTCTTCCGCGCGTACTCGCCGGCGCTGGACACGTTCCTCAGCACGCCGGACGCGTTCCTGAAGACCGTGGACCAGCAGGTCTCGCCGCTCGACGAGCTCGGGTCCCAGCCGCTGTGAGGTATTATTATGTTGTTCACCACCATCGTCACGCCGTCGTCGATGATCGACCTCTTGAGATCCTGAAACCGCGCGCACGTCCGGATTACCGACTTTGAATATCCCGGAGACCGAGAGGGCTTTTTCGCTCTCTTACGATTAACATCTTGACCGCCACGAGGGTCACCCGGTGATACCGGCTCTATAACAATGCCGTGGTTCATTAATTTACGTTCGTTATTATAAAATGTAATTAATTATAAGCAGCAAATTAAGTATAAAGCGAAGCAATGGCTATTACTATCTTGGATATCTTCGAAATATATAGAATAGAACAGGATCTATTTTATTATGTTTTAAATCCTGTAGGAGCGACAAGTAGTACGAAACAATATAAATATAGTTACAGACAATCGTCGCGAGAAAAAGAAGAAGTTTAAAAGAAACGGGGGGATATGAATAGAGAAATTAACTGTAAAAAGTGCAGGTTAGAAAAACAGTGATGATAAAACGTAAGACGCCTAATGAGGATGACAGTTGATAATAATAATCAATGGTCGCATCAGCGGAAAAACCGGCTCAGCAAAGCGCTTTCCGCTGCGCTGCCAACAGCTTCGCAACTGTTACAAGATTTCCCGCTGAACGACACTTAGCAATTTACGCTGCCCCAACATGTTTACTAAGCGGTCCGATGTATTAAAAGTATGCTGGAAAAGATGGCGGTCGCTTAGTAAACACGTTGGAAAAGCGTATACTGCCGGTGCCGTTCAGCAGAAAATCTTAAAATAGTTGCAAAGTTGCCGGCAGCGTAATAACGCAGAGCGCTTACCAAGCTGTTTTCTCTGCTGAACGCAGCCAGTGTTTTGCGAGTGAAGAATGATTGAAAATGGCTAATTTGAAAGAAACGACCGTGAGAGTTTTTTCAGTACGAGACCAGAAGAAAAATGCATCTAACAGAAATCACAATACCGACAAACAGCAATCATCGTCATTTTGAACACCTGTAAATGTGAGTTACCTTCACCTTTTTCTAGTCGCTAAAATATCTTTATTTCCCGAAGATATCCAAGGAGGTACTAGTTATTACCCTCACCCTGGAACGACCGGGCGGTTAGAAAATACACCGTGAATCGCATTTACTTGGCTGATTGAAACTTGAATTCATCGTTAAAACGATCAACGGGAATCAACGCGAAATCGAGACCCCCTTCCCCCCCCTGAGTGTTTCCGTGGTGAACACGCAGCCCCGATTTGTTCTGATTCGCGCCTCCGAGACTCACTTCGCACGAGGACAGGTTCCACAGCACCCCCGTGACCAGCTCCTTGATGTCCGCGTCGGAGGTCCGCCGCAGCAGATTGATGAGGGCGGGCACGCCGCCGGCGTTCTTGATGGCGCGCTTGTTCTCGTCGTTCTGCCGGCCGTACGACAGATTGCGCAGCGCGCCGCACGCGTTCCTGTACACCTCGAGGTTGTCGTGGTCCAACAGCTGCACCAGCGGCGGTATGCCGCCGAGGCTGCGCGTCTTCTGCTTGTTCGGGTCGTCCATGTAGCAGAGGTGCTGCAGGTACGCGGCGGCGTTCGCTTTGATTATGTTGTTGGGGTTGCTCAGAAAACCGATCACCTCGGACAGGTTGGGGTCGCGCCAGCGCAGGGACTTCTGGTCGTCGTCCAACGGGCTGGCCATGCCGGGCACCACCGGGTGACGCGACTGCAACCGCTGCAGGTGCACCTCGTCCTCGAAGATGCCGGGCGGCACCCCCGACGGCAACGGCACCGGGTGGCCCTCCTCGTAACCCGGCACGTCGCTCGGTACCGGGCCCACCCCCACGGCTGGCCCGTAACCCACCGGCCCGTAAGGCGACGGCGACACGTATCCGTAGGCCACTTTGCCCTCGTCTGAAAGAGAGATAGAGGGAGGGAACATGTGTTACACGTGTCGTTCATCGTTGATTGCGATCTGCGCCGGTCGATCTCGCGTCGATCAACAGTCCGATCTCGGTGGGACACGCATAATTCACTTAGGCTTATCTGCGGCTTATCCGCCCGCGTTATCGCTCGTTCATTTGCGTTATCGCCGCTTATCTCTGATGGAATTTTGTCGAACACGCCGTGAGAACGCGCCGCTCGTCCCCCGCTCGGCAACTTTACATTTCTTTCAGCCATATGTAAGACTAATTCGTGTGTAATTAATGTTAATTAACTTGATTATAAATTTCATTGTATTAGATACAAACTTACGCGTGTGTGTGTGTGTGTGTGTGCGTGTTTTAATAATAAACCCTTTGTTATATTATAAGACGAAAATTCAAGTGATGAAAATGTCGAGTCATCAATAGTTTTCGAAATATAAGCGATTGAAAAAATGGAGCTTTCCGCAAACTAAGCTTCGAGTAATCGAATGGATAATAAAATTATTTTCTCTGATTAACTTCGGATGGTTTTTAATTTGACGGAATTTTCATTTGAAACTTAGCTACAAAGATATGTTAATTATTATGTTAATAAATATTTTAATGATAAATTCTTTGTAATATTCTCTCTAATATGAAAATGTCGAGGGAGGTCGTTATTTACGATAACTTTTCAATCTTATTTATATACTTTTTATATAACATATATATATTTTTCCGATCAATTTTCCAACTGACATGTGCGGAGAATAAATTAAAGCCAAGCGAATACTCTAATATATATGTTTTTATAATATTTAGATATTTTTTTCCTTTTTATTCGACTTCAATAGGAAACGAATAATTAAATATGAATAATAGATAGTCCCCAAATGAGACAGGAGAGCGACATCGCGGTTTGGGAGATGCGATTTCTCCAGAAATCAGATACTCCTGTTACTTTTGCCAGACTTCACGTAACAGAACGGGACCGTTAATTCAATCGGTTTAATGGAATATGGATAGCTTTTGATAAATCACGCGTACTTAAATAACGGACCGACGACGTGTGACGGCGGAGATTCCGCGCTACCGGGAGGAGAATCATCAGTTATGAATTCATACTTCGATATAACAAGGAAGTGTTTAAGAGACGCCTGAGAGAGCGGAAAGAGAGAAACGGATAGATAGATAGATAGATGAAGTTTATTAAGGTTCAAGAATAAAAGAGAGAGAGAAAGAGAGAAACAGACAGAGAAAAGGACAGAGAGGCGAGTTAGATAAATGGTATGGATGTAGCCCTACCATGAGGATGTTGAGAGGGTTCGCCGGAGTCATCCATATTCCACGAGTTGCTGATTCGATCTAGAGTGAACATAAAATAACAACGAGTGTCAGACAGCGAGATAATCAAAGTGAATTATGCGGTGTCCCGCGCGAAACACGATAACGCGCGCGCGCGCATTTTCGACTGTTTTACGCCGCGACGTAAATCTAATAGCGAGAGCCCGTAAAACCGTCACATTAAGCGACGTGCACGCGTACTTCGCCTCCGTCGGTGGAGCGCCGTTAATAAAATCGAATTGGCCGTGAAAATCACGGGAATCCCGCTACGGCTGGCGCACCGTCGCCGAAAAACGCGCGTCGAGGAAACGGAAGCGCGCATCGCACTTGTTGGAGTTTATCGGCTACTACCCACCATACTGATCTCCGGGACCACCTGGACTGGGAGTAATGCGATAATGGTCCTGCAAAGCGGGGTTCAAGCCGGGGTCGATGTCGTTATAGCCGCCCTCCACGTAGGGCGCACCCTTGCGCATGTATTCTGCGGAAAAGAAATCGCCGGATTATTGTCGCGGAGGATCTCTCGCGGAGAGCTGCTTTCCACCGGACTGTGACTCGCAGCTGCCGCGTTTCCCCTCTCGTCCGAATGTCCTCGCATCAACTGTGATCGTTGCGATCAATGCCGCTTTATCAAGGCTCTTCGCCTTACGAGTAATCACTGCGAACTTCTGTCCTTGTTTAGTGACGTCAGAAGCGAGAAAAACGCATGCCAAAATTTTTCGCTTGATATTTTCAAATGAAAAGACGTAACAAAATGACATTCGTGATCGGAGCCTTAACGGCAAAATAATCCCCTAGCAAGTTACGAAGAATTACATCCCTTACAACGAATTTACTACACAAAGAACAAAAGTATGTGAGGGAAAAATTGTGAAAGTTAAATTGAGAAATTTTTGAAATACAAATACTTTAATTATCGCAAAAAGAAACCAGAGATATCGTTGATCTGCTTCGTTCCACCTAAGAGAGAATCGAAGAAAAGGAAAGAATTTAAAATATTCCGGGTATTCTAAAAGTCAATCTCGACGAGACTAAATTTGGACGCGTTTTTTGGGTTCTTGAAAAAATAATCCGATCGGATTCGCCACCTATCGGAAGTGATCAACGAGTCATGATAAAAAATTACTCTTCAATCGGTCATTTCCAGACATTTAACGATTTGCCTTCGAGTTCTCCCGAGTTATTCTCCTCTTCACGAAACATTTGGAATACACCACTGTCCCTGAGAAATTCGAGTCTCCTCTCGGCGAGAAACATAATTACGTTTGCCAAGTAAACGGCGAAGCGCGCGAGGTACTTCGTTTAAGAATTCTCGCCAACTTTGTGCGCGGAACACACTTGGGAATCGCGGGAGATTCTTCTACTCGGCTTGAGTCAATGGAAAAATTCGACAAAGCGATTCACCCCCTCTTGTCGCTAAATGTCGCGGAAGCGGGGATAAAAGAAAGATATACAGGGTGTCCGTCGTCAAGAGAAATCCCTGTCTCATATATTTGTAATTTAGGTCAATGTGAGCAAAAAAGTCCGCCGCCATTTTGCAGTCACGTAAAATTTTGAATTATTAATTATTAAAAATGGCCATATGTACACGGAGAAAATAATATAGTGAAAATTACCGTAAAATTTTGTAATGCCGGACCGTACCGGAATTATGATCGAAATTATGATATGTATTGTGATCTTTAATGACGTATATCACGAATACATATCATAATTTCCGTAATGATTCCGGTATGGCCCAACATTACGATATTTTATGGTAATTTCTGCTACAATATTTTCACCGCGTATAGAGGTTTCTTTAATTGATAATTAAAAAGTTTTCGTGGATATTTGCGAAATAACAAAGGACTTTTAATTCAGAATCTAATCTACAAGCATATGATAGTTGTATCTAGCGACAAACATCAATATACTGAACATTGAACCTGTAATCGCTAATAACTATCACTACCTTGAATGTCTTCGAAAATTAAAAATATCTTATTAACGATCAAATAAAGGTGATGAAATGATGGCCACTGCCGTACATATCAATACAACTTCTATCAGATAAGTTTTTTCCATTCTCGTATTTCAAAGATATCCAAGATTGTAATAGTTTTTACACAGTGTATTGACTCATCTTCTATAGATAGATAGATAGATAGAGAGATGGAAATGGATAGATAGATAGATAAAAAGAGAGAGAGAGAGAGAGAGGGAGAGAGAGAGAGAGAGAACACCACCGACTCGCGGCGTTTACATACCGTGTGGCGGCGAAGCACGACTGTGTTCCGACGGGCTGTGGGGGCTGTGGGGGGAATGCGAGCGCGGCATGTAAATGCCGTGAGGTCCTGGATATCCCGGTTGCGGCGGGTAGCCCAGGTACGGGTCATAATGGTCGAAAGTGACCATGTACGGGTCCGCCGAGTAGCGCGGGTCCGCGTGCTGATAATCTTGCGACATCAATGGCACCGACATGTAACTAACCGCGCCCGGATCCGGCTCCATGTGGGAAACCTCGCGCACCACTTTCGTCACAGTCGTCACCTGGGGAAGCGCCCAAGCGCAGAGCTAATAGTAGTAATAGTAGTCGCACTCCACCACATCGCGCGGTATCTCTTCTCTCACGCGCACACTCGCGCGTCCTTTCAACGGGATCTTTTCCACGGCGCGTTGCACCACGTGATGACACGCGACATGTGGCGTCCTCGCGGACGCGTTAACGCGATTATCGGTGACGGACTCGCGGACGGTCGGATTTCTCCGCGGCGTATCAGAAGTTCGAGCGAAGTCGCGGCCTTCGCAGCGAAGTTCCGGCTCTTCGTGGATTTTCGCGAGTCCCGTCAAAGGAGCGAGCGTGAGGCCAGAGAGAAAGATATCGTATGGGATGTTAATTAATAACATTTACATATGCAATTAGTGGGTAATTAATACGTGTTATTATAATTAGGCAGAGGTATAATTAGGGCATTTAATGGAACGCAGCGTGGATACGCCGAGAGGAAAATATTTGATATTTGTAACTGTAATCATTGTGGTGACAATTATAATCGGGAGAACCATTTTTCTAGTAAGTGGGATATGATAATCTTACATGCATATTGCTACTAAACGGAGGAAAGGATTTCTTTACATCTAGTTTACGTGTTTGTTTTCTTTGAGAGTTTGTTTAATATACAAAATATAATTTAATATCAAGTATCATTTTGTTCGAATAAAAATGCTGGTTTATTAAGAATAAATCATGTTGTTTGATAGAAAAAAAACATTATTACTTAGAGGAAATAATATCCGATTTTTAATCACAAAAATTTTTTATATGTAAAATATTGGTTTTCCACCGAAACAAAGTTCCTTAATATTTTTCCAACATAATGTTACTTCTTTCAAATAATTTATTGCTTTTAACAACTGTCGTAATGTTTGGGTGAAAATACAAAAAATATATGTTATTCGACATAAAGATAATTATTGTCTGAGACATCGAATAATTCTGCTTGTTAAATCAAACACTCGTTTGTTCCATTCCGAGAGACAAATTTGCTTCAATTAAATAGATCTTGTTAAATCCAAAGAAATCTTTTCTTCTGTGTACTTCTGGCAGTTACAATCATAAAAAATATATTTGTTGAGGTCGAAAATAACTATTCATATATAATTTCATGTCGACGCTTACGAAACGTGAGCTGATTACGCGGTGATTACCGGGATTTCGATCGTCGGAACAAAGTATCATGAAGAAATCAAGTGTTTCCAAGCTATTTTTATAACTGTGGCAAGACACTAATAAACGCGCGTGGGCATCTTCGTTATTTTCCCGCTATATTAGTTTACCGCACGAGTTGTGCAAATTTATCGTTTGACGGGCGGGAGGAAGTCGAGGACGGACGGGCGCGGACGGAAAATATACGGAGAGAACGGAGATTGATCTCACTTGCTGAGAAGTTTGTTGCTTGTGCGTCCGGATGAGCAGCGGATCCTCCTGGACGGACAGATGAGACGAGTGCAGCGAGTGGGTGTCCGCCTGTCCGTTACTTCCATGGTAATCCGTGTCGCCCTGTCCGCTGCAGGTGAATCAGAGATAGAAATGAGGATCGGCGGAAGTAGGGTCACGCGATATCGAAAATTACTGTGTCAATAGCAGAAGAGAAGGGGACGCTTACGTGTATTGTGGCATGTCGGGGGCTTTCTCCTGTAGGACGCGTCTGAAAAGGACGTAGTTCCCCTTTGAGTTCATCCTATATATTTCTACGGACAATTTAAACAGGGCGAGGCGATAACCATTACCGTCTTGAACGTGTCTTCGAAAAATATAAATATTTTATGAACAAATAGATGAGGGAAAACGGTTTAAATTTGCCGAAGGTGCTCGCGAAGCGAGCATCGGTGCCGACGCGCGACTACTGTCGGATAAAGGGCGAGTAAAATGGGTCGCCGATTTTGGCTCTAAGAATTAGAAGTAAAAACGGCATGTATTTTTATCATTTTCGAGCTGTCGTAACTGATCACGATTTTCGGATAAAAAAATTTCAATTTGTCGGAAAAGTATTAAATTTTAATCAGTGTTTGAAACTATTGATTTTAATCAGTGTTTGAAACTACTTGACTTTAATCAATGTTTGAAACTATTCAATATTCAGTGCCGTAAATTATTATTGTGGGACTTTACGAACACATTCATTCGTTTTCCTGCCAATAAAATATGATTTTATCATATAAAATATTTCTTTTAGAATGCTGCTGTTAATAATGAGAGTGATTCTGAGTAACAATAATTGTTCCAATTTTTCCTAGGAAAAAATAAGGAAACAAAACATTATTCTCCTAATGTTTTGTTTCCTTATTTCTTATGTATATATTCTTCTGTGTATATTATATAAACTTTTGCCCATTAAAAGTATACTACTATTGTAGCATTTTATTACTGAAAATTGTAAGAGTTGCGCAAAAAATTTTATGAAATTTTTCAACGCCAGGCTTCATATGCTGATTTTAAAACTTCCCCGGCAAATAATAATTTCTTAAAGGTCAGTATTAGATTTAGCAGGTCAAAAACTACAAAAACATCGACGTTTTTATGTGCCGCTCAAAATTGGCCCATTTTACTCACCGTCCTTCCTCTGCTGCTCTCATATTTCAAACGTAAAATGTGATGTAATAGTTATTGCCTCGCCTTGTGTATTAAAAAAAAAAAAAAGGAACTTTTTTCTAAAGACCAAAATAAAACGCGCGGGCAACCAACCGCGAAGAGAGGGAAACGTCGCTCGGTGAGCGCCCAGTGAAAACAAGTATCCCGGCGCGAGTACAAGCGCGCCCGCGAATCTTACGCCCCGTCGTCCCGCCACACATCTTGCAATTGCACAAGGGAAGGAAAATACTCTCGTCGCGTGCGCACCAGTGTTGTTCAGAAAAATACACGGCGTAACTCGCGAATATTTCTGCCCCCACGTGAACCCGCGCATGTAGCCGCGATCTATTCGAAAACAAATGTAGCGTTCTGCAACTTTCGCGAAGGGAGGAGATAGCATGTCGACGGGCGCGCGCGATGCGAAGATCCGGTGATTAAAATGGCACGCGCGACGCATATATACGGAGAGTAATTCCGAAATATATCGCCGAACTTGGTGCGCAAATTCCTCGATCAGTTTCGGAGAGAGCCCATAACGTCCCCGGGACGGGAATTCGACTGAACGTCTTTTAAAACCCCCGCCCTCTCTTTTTTTTTAAATCCCGACGTGAAGTATCGCTCTTTAACGTTCCGACAATTGAATCTTCGATTCTCTTTGATTTTTTTCCACTCTCTCTCTCTCTCTCTCTCTTTCTCTCTCTCTCTTGCAAATATCACGTGGAATTAAACGACGGGCAACACTTGCTCGTTATTCATTTTCGCTCGGCAGGCGCGATTATTCATCGCTTTATCATCCGTCGCTCACGATTACGATACCGAATCGCCCTTCGGCGTCATGATACATTTTCGAGAGGGCGGCGGGAGAAGGGGTGAGGGGGGG